AAAATTATATATAAACTAAGCAAATGTGAATTGCACGTTGCTTAAACCTAGTAATTTAATAAATGGACTCCATAACTTCTTCAAGTGAAAATAACTTTTATTTATTTTTAAATTTAGCTAAATATGCTCGGCGTGACCTACCTCTAAAGTAACTATTAACTTGAAAAGTGAAATTGGAATACAAAAATTAATCAGATAAATTGTTAACAATGGTTTCAAAATATTTTTTCTCGTAAATGAGACAACAAAAATATCAAATTAAATTTTATTTTCAATGAATTTATAATCGATCAATTATAAGAATATTATTTTCCCATCAACATTTCTAATGGGAACAAAAACTCCAAAGGATAAACTGATAAGATCAATACCATAAAATGACCTCTTTTCAGTCAATCTCGACAAGACGTTTTTCGAATTCTGAACAAATCCTCCCTTGCTATCATTTTCCGAGAAGTTATCTTGCTTTATTTACATGCATAAAACTCGACAAGCTCTTCTAAGGATTCGAGCTGAGGATCAGTGTTTTCCAGCATCCAAAGCAAATGCTCGAAAAGCACAACTTCGCACCCCACAGTAATCGAGTCATCATCGGTCCCGGACCGCTCCACCAGCTCCCGGAAGAGCGGGTTGGCCATGACGTTGGTGGTGATGAAGTAGCGCCGCCTTGACTTGCCGACATACACAGGGTGGAGGTCTTTTCCGTCGGCCGTGTCATCATCTGAGAAATTGTTGAGGGACGTGTCATTGGTGCGGCTGATCTTGAAAGATTGCATTTTCTTTAGCATGGACTTAAGCTTGGTAAGTTTGCCTCCTTTTGCCATCGTATATTGGAGAAGAAATTTCTTGAGAAAGAAGAGAGTTTGATTCTTGAAGACGAAATGGAGAAGAAGAATGGATGAGGGGTTTGGGAAATGAGGAAGAAGGTTCGCTATATATTGTGGTGGGGTTAGGTTGGGGGTGGGGGTGGGTTGGGTGGAGGAGTGGGGAGGAAAGAGATATGTAGTTAAGAGTAAAAATACCTTAAATCCACGTTTCATAGTTTATTAATTCTCTGTATTCTATTATTAATTTATTATAATTTATAATACATCGTGGGAACAACAAGGTGAGTTTCCGAACTCTGTCACTAGCGTGGTTTTGGCTTCCCAATCTTTAAAAGTAAAGTTACGAAACTCCAACTTATTTTAATTTGTAAATCTCGATCCTTTCGAGATAGAATTATGAACACGAACGTTAAAATCGCACTAAATTTGAAATTTTGGATCTCAACATTAATATTTGAGACTTTCGTCTTTTACCTTTAATTCACGCAAAAGGTGCATGCGATTTTAGCATGCCAAATTCACAAATTTAAAGAAGTTGGTGACTAGAATCTCGTTCTTGAAGATTGATTGGCCAAAACTACACTGGTTAAAAGGTTAAAAAAACCTAGCCTCAATTTTCTCAATTTTTTGGAATTCATTTTGCGTTGAAAATTTTAACTCCAAATTTAGTAGGATAAATCAACACTACAACGTTTAAGTATTTTTTTTTGGTTGCTTGCTTGGGCAACAGGCCACGATCTCTGGTGACGACCGGTAAGTGTTACTAGTTTGGTCACTGATTGGCAGAAGTTAGGAGAATATTCACATCATTAATGGATGCATATTTCCATAATTGCTATAAATATTGGTGGATGTGATCATCAATACGTAATTGATGGTCAATGTTGTTATGGACAACTAGTAATTGAACATTTTGGCTGTTGATTACTAACTTTAACAATCCGTAACCTCTATATGATCGTCGAACCTCTGACAATTGTCGAGCAGTGAAATTAAATATTGTGTTGTTGCCGATACATTAAAAATTACAGAAGGTTTGAAAGTAACTTTTGCTTTCCTTAGAAAAAACATTTTTTTTTACATCTCGTCGTCCCACCCTTGGCAGCTCACCTCAGCTCCCTCCGCCTCTTCCACCACCACGCGATGACCCTAATTTATAGAAAAAGTGTCTACAAATACCAACACTTAAAAGCACTTTTTGCTTGCTTTCGCATTCAACAAGAAAATGAATTTTGGTTCTTTAATTTAGTTCTGCTTCAACTCGTTTCCAGAAAAAAAACATTGTCATCGAAAGCGACAGACATGTGCAAAGGAAAGCCTGCCATATTCTGTCGCTCAATAATTAATAATTCTTACTGAATTTCCACTTATTTTAATAAGAGATTAGGAACTTGTTGATTAAGATTAATATAATGATTAATTAAGGATCGACAGACAGTAACTACCTGATTTTTTTTTCTTAATTCTTGTTGGTGCAATTTAAACAGTTTATTAAATATAATTTTTTTTACGAGTTATGAGCATTTTAAATTTTGTGACACGCTTGAACAAGAAAAGTAGAGGACAAGAGTGAAGCAAACAAACAAGAGAACTTGTTTTTACTGTTGTCCAAGTTGAATAAGGAATTCTTCCAAATGTGGCACTTCTTTAATTGCATGTTTAATAATAAACTTTTTCCATTAAGAGACAAGAAGTATATTATAAAGGCTAAAGAAACTACACTTCATCGCCCTAGCGACGCTCATCATCAAACTCCAAGCAGGAACATAGTCGGGATTTCAATCTTGAAATTTTTTTTAACTAAAAGGATTAAAAACGACGATTTTGAGTATAAAAAATAAGCAAGTTATATTGATTGACAAAAAAGACAATCAGTTTGTCGATACAAAAACAATATGTTCATCTATGTGTTTAACGCTATATAAATTGAAAATATGAACGTTAGATGGACATAAAAAAGACAAAAGTCAACTACCTATCTATATAACAAATGGTAGAGATGACCTGGACATCTGGAATTTGTTTCTCCTTGTCCTCATCAATTCAAACTCGTCAATAAGATAAATCTTTTTGTTCATTTATTTGGGCTATTTATTTATTTAAGTAACTATTGAATTTTTTGTTTAGGTCTAAGATTTTTGTATGGTTGAATTTTAAAGTGTAAGTTATTGTGTTAAAATTTATTAATAGAAAAAAAATTTCAAAATTTTGCGGGAGCGAGTCAAAATTTTTGCGGGGGCGAAATTGAAAAATACATTACAAATTAACTAGAAATAGTGGACCAGCGGACAATGTTGGGGGATCATATTTAGACTCGATACTGATGGGAATTTACTAAAACATGTATGGCGAAAAATAAAATAATTTCAAGTCCCACCAGTGATTTGCTTTGTATTTAGAGAGAAATTGTGATATGAATTATAAATTCTGTAAATTTTATAAACTCCTTTGGTGATCTAGGAACACGAACAATCACAATCTGCAGTTCACAATTGTCCAATTGTTCAGTTTCTAATGAAAATTCACATACAGAGCAAGAATGAGAGAACTTAGATTTCTATTTTCTTGTGCTAGCAAAATAATGAATTTTGTTCTAATTTTCTGAAGTTTTAATAGCTTGTTAATATAAGTCCAAATGGGCTGAGACCCGTATCTTATACTTAACCCGATCAAATATTTAGTTAATTCAATTAATTAACTTTGGTTCATGAATTAATTAATTCAATTAAATAAATCAGGCCTGTTAATAAGCAGCTTAATTAATTAATTCTCCAACACTTTTTAATTAATTAATTGATTACTCTCATTTTTCTACTTGTCCTTTTGTTTATGACTCATTAGGTTCCCGATCACGATATCTAATCAGGTGAATTATTATTTTGATTTAATCTAAATTTGTTACTTACTTCAAATTCAAGAAGTACATAGCTTTGTCTCAGTCTCTATGAATGTACTAAAAAGCATCTCATATTCCCTTGTGCTCGGTTAGAAAGCTGGGTCCTCCATTCTTACGTCGCTCTCACCTTAAATTTCCCCATATTAATAAAGTGAATATAAGAGAATCTATCAACCAAATTCAGTGTAATTTGTTGTGAGTAGGAAAAATAATCAGGACTCTATTGAGTTCAACTTGAAAATTCCCACGTCTAAGTTAAATCTAATTTAAGGAAATAATTTTTGAAATGAGAAATTCTATGCTAGTGTTGATGCACAATAAAGCTGCCGAGCAACAAATGCATTGCACCTGGAGAAAACCCAAGACAAAATGCATGCTGAGGTCTGCAAGATTGAACAAACAATAGATATCCTCTCACGTCTTTGTTTTTCATACAATTCTCCGATCTTATCCAATTCAACATAACTCTCTTAACTGCGTGGAACCAAAAACATTGCATTTTAACAACAAGTTTTCCTCGCGTGTTTACTCAATCCAATAAGGCTTTTCAAATGAGATGTCAAGATTGAACAAACAATAGATATCCTCTCATGTCTTTCTTTTTCATACAATTCTCCGATCTTATCCAATTCAACATAACTCTCTTAACTGCGTGGAACCAAAAACATTGCATTTTAGCAACAAGTTTTCCTCGCGTGTTTACTCAATCCAATAAGGCTTTTCAAATGAGATGTCAAGATTGAACAAACAATAGATATCCTCTCATGTCTTTCTTTTTCATACAGTTCTCCGATCTTATCCAATTCAACATAACTCTCTTAACTGCGTGGAACCAAAAACATTGCATTTTAGCAACAAGTTTTTCTCGTGTCTTTAGTCAATCCAATAAGGCTTGTAAAATGAGATGTCAATATTGAACAAACAATAGATATCCTCTCACGTCTTTCTTTTTCATACAATTCTCCGATCTTATCCAATTCAACATAACTCTCTTAACCACGTGGAACCAACAACATTGCATTTTAGCAACAAGTTTTCCTCGTGTCTTTACTCAATCCAATGAGGCTTGTAAAATGAGATGTCCCCTTCCCCCACCCACCCCATACGCATTTGTGTGGTTCTATTCAATTACAAGAAGCCAAAATTACGAACAACAAAAACCCAAGAAACCATATCCACTATTGTGTAACATAGGATAAGGAACCAAATGAATTGGTCCATTCCATTTTATGGTCAAATTACATATTGAAAGTGAAATGGACACGGCAACACTTGGGCAGAATCATGTGACAAAACATGGACTTAACAAGAATTGATTCACGTAAGTAGATATATATTAATGCTAAAAGCCCATGCTATCCCGCGTGGAGTGATGAAACCACCAAATTTTCTTGCCATGTGAAGCCAAACATAAAGCATATATGTAGTTTTATGTGTGGCAACACCAACGTATATATTGGATAAATATGAGCATATTGCTGACTCTTATTCTTTTTGTCCTATGCCACCTGCTTGTTTAAATACGGGTGGAATAATGAATATACACGTGTGTTTCTATCTTTAGTACAATGAAATCTCGTTACTCAACTCTCATAAATATTAAGTGTATTATTACGGAGTACTTGCTAGAAACTATTCTATTTAGGGAAAATCCTCACTTTTGAATGACCGAAATCTTAATTCCCTTTTTGTCTTGGTCGTGTATAGGTCACATTTCAGAAACTTCATACGTCAATCAACAATTATTTTCAAGTTTCAATGCCATTATTTTGAATAGAGTTGATGACGATCTTTATACACTTGTTGGCTAATCGATTCGATATGTCCTGATAACACATATGAAACGACTCTTGATCTAGAGCCTAATATGATTCAAACATGACATAAGAACAAAAGACCTCCACTGGTTATACAAAATGTTTTAATTCTCAAGAAACAACTCCAAATTCTCCAAAAAACAATGTTATCCCTAATTTCTATAAAATAACGTTTTCATTGACTTAAACATCAAAGTGTTTGACAAATATGATCAAAGTGACCCTTTCTCAATAGTATTTTAAGTCAATCTTTGATTGATAGTAAATTAAACATCAACATATATATGAATTATGAAAATGGTTAATTTCACAAACGGTCACTGAAATTATCTGAAAATCACAAAACGGTTACTGAAGTTTAAAAGTTGCTGAAACGGTCATTGAGTTTAAATTTCTTTCACAAACGGTCACTGAATTTTCAGATTTTTTGGGCAAGTTTTGCGTCGATTTTCCGGCAACTTCCGACTACCTACACCGTCGGATTTGGATATCGTTGGAAAGTCCACAATGTCCTGTTCATTTATCACCAAAATTCTTCCCATAAATTCAAGGGATTCGGCCGAAATATACCCATGAAGTCGGCTACCGAAAAATTTGAAAATCTACCCAAATTTTCAGATTTTTTGGGCGAGTTTGCGGCAATTTTCCGCCAACTTCCGACCACCAATACCGTCGGTTTCGGATACCGTTGGAAAGCCCACAACGTCATCTTCAATTACTACCAAAAAGCTCCCCATTACTCTAAGGGATTCGAATTCGACCGGAATAAACCCACGATGGGTTTATTCCGGCCGAATCCCTTAAAGTAATGGGGAGCTTTTTGGTGGTAATTGAAGATGACATTGTGAGCTTTCCAACGGTATCTGAAACCGACGGCAAATTGGGCAGATTTTCAGATTTTTTTGGTAGGTGACTTCGTGAGTTTATTCCGGCCGAATCCCTTAGAGTAATGGGGAGCTTTTTGGTGGTAATTAAAGATGATATTGTGGGCTTTCCAACGATATCTAAAACCGACGGTATTGGTGGTCTAAAGTTGCCGAAAAATTGCCGCAAATTCGCCCAAAAAATCTGAAAATCTGAGCAGATTTTCAGATTTTTCGGTAGCCGACTTCGTGGATGCATTTCGGTCGAATCCCTTGGAGTTATGGAGAGATTTTTGGTAGTAATTGAAGAGAACATTGTGGGCTTTTCAACGGTATCCAAATCTGACGGTGTAGGTGGTCGAAAGTCGTAGGAAAATTGCCGCAAAACTTGCCCAGAAAATTTGAAAATTCAGTGACCGTTTGTGAAAGAAATTTAAATTTTAGTGACCGTTTCTGTAAGTTTTAAATTTCAGTGACCGTTTATGAAATTAACCCATTATGAAAAGGACAAACCCATACAGTATCAGGTCATTAGTTAATGATGTTTTATGGGAAAACGTAAAAAATTAAGATGATGATTATGCTTGCAAATACTTGTACCAATGTCGGCGAAGTGTTCTTCTCTTGTCCTAGAATATTTAGGAAAGAGAAAATGGAGGGAGAAAAATCTGTAATTTAATTCAATATTAATCAAGTTGATACGAAAATGTAAACCTAATTCCCTTTATACACTGGACATCTTTATATCAAGTGAACGTTCAAAGGATAACAATCTTCTAATTTTAATAAACAATATTCCTAACTAATAAAACTAGTGAAATCTTTTGCCTAGAGTATACTTTTAGTTATTTCCCAGTTAGGAACATGACATTATCGAAAATTGATTCGAAAATTTTTTATTTTGTAATTTCAATTTCTAAAATGTTTTTTGGTCGAGTCGTTTATTTTTTCTACTTAAATTTCTTTAGCAAAATACACAATTACAAAAGAAAATTTCGATTTCTAACCCTCATATGGAGATTATCGTTTTTATATTTAATTGAAGGCGTTTTACTCATAAAATGCTCAATGCTTTGTTAAATTAGTGGCTCATTTGAAAATGTTAAATCTTAAAATTTGAGAACTTGTTGAAGTTTTGACAAATCAAACTACTCGATTAAACTTTTGGTGCTTTTATATGATATGGAATGTTCTATCTTAAATGACCAATCTTGTTGAAAGCAGTAATCCAAATCATTTTATATAAAATATTAACTATTTTTTTCGTATTTAACCAGTACAAGATTTTACTGTCAACCCCGAGGCTCCAGGGATGGTAAAAAATCCGTTTAACCTGATACCCACGAGACCTCGCCCCAAATAGGGGGCTAATAATACCCACCTTACCTAGTAAACGGGACGGATAGGGGCATGAATTATTGTCCCGAAGAAGGTACAGGACGGTACGAGAATCATAGCCCCGCCTCGTTTAATGTTAATTTCAAATTTAAATTTTTTATTAAATAAAAATAAATATTTATCATCAGTTTTAAAGAGAATATAAGTTATTTTTAACAAATTGAAAAAAAAAAGGTAATAATACTTACGAATTAAAGATATAAAAAATATAAAAGTAAAATAAATAATAAATAAACGGAGCGATGAATGGGGCAAGGGACCTGGCCTGCCCCGTCCCATCCCGTCCCTTCCTGTCCCGCTTTAATCGGGTATGGGAATGGGAGAAAGTGACAAAAATACCAATGACCGACCTATCTCATACCCATCCAGTTGCCATCCCTACGAGCTTTCAACTTTTGAGAGATTGCCTAACAAAAAGATTCATAGTTTTCAAGCCATTTGAGTTTTAATTTATCTACATGGATGGACTCCTCTCTTTTTGCCTCGAGCTCTTTCGCTAATTAATGTAATTGAAATTATAGGTGATTGTTGTCAATTTCGATAGTTAAATTTCATATTTAAATCACTTATTCCACCAACTGGATCAATGCATATTTATTATTTACCAAAGTGTCAGTCTTGGAATGTTTTAAATGGTTTGATTTTGTGAAGGAATTGGAGGTTCTACGCTTATTCTGCACGTTAGCGTACGAGAATCGTTTCGACAGTAAGAACTAAGAAAATCGGTGTCGGGCACTATGATCGCTAGACCTATGGTGAAGTTTTGTTTTAGTCACCTGATTTATGACAACCATTATTTCAAAACTTTTTAATTCTCATATTCATTTTCAACCACACATTCATAAAATAAAATATTTTGCACGTAAACTCAAAGGTTTATTAGCACAAAACATCAATATGTTTGGTTTTTAGTGTGCAAAATGTCTTTACGTTTCAACTTTTTACATTTTCATCCCTATTTCCATGTTTTATTGTAAAAATCGTCATTTTCATCAATTTTTATCTAATTTCTCAATAAAAATATATGAAATGACGAATATACCCTCCTATTTAAATAAAACAAAAACAAAAATAAAGAACTAATTGCAACCATACTCCCAAATCTTTTTAAAATGCAAATGACACCCAAATAAATTATTGAAAAATTCAAAATAAAATAAAATCTTTTTCCCTCTCTCTCTCTCTCTTCCTCCACCACCTTCGAGATAAATCCATTCCTACAAGATTACGAAGAACTTCGAATTGCTTTACTTCTTCTCAGATCCCTGATAGCCGAAACAGAAAATTTTTCCCTTTTTACCAGGTACTACTTCACCATCGATTTCTACAAAAGCCAAAGAAAAACCCAAATGAATAACAAACAAGAATTTCAGAAAAAACAAAAAAACTGAATCCTTAAAGGCAGCACATTGTACAAGATGAAAAACCATACTACTACTTCCAAATTCAGTTACTGTAAATTCACAGTTTTGAAAAGATCCCACTTTTTCAATAACCACGGACATTTGGCACAGCCTCCGACGCTCCGTTCAGACTTTGAAAAAAAACATAAAAATTTTAAAGGGAAAGAAACATTCCAGGGGATCGAATACTCCAATAAAACTAAGACACGAATGCAAAAAGAGAATTTCACCAAGGCGTCAAGATTTCTGAAAGGGGAATAAAAATCTAATGCTAAATTGAAAATTCTCTATATTACTAGGTGCAAGCAATGTGCAATGCACGTTTGCCTAGTTTATATGTAAGAGCTTGTTTGGTAGGGTTTTTTTAGGGGAAGAATTGATTTTGAATAGTGATATGATGGGAAGTATGTGATTGAAAAGGAAGATAAGATTATTGATGTGATGGAAAATATTATTTTATTGAAGAATGTGTGGTTGAAAATGAGAATTGATTTACTGTAAAATTGGAATCCGTACCAAACGGGACGTTAATAGTTTTGTTTAAGAATTAATTTATTATTAATAAAGATATAATTTTTTTGGTTAATTAAATAATTAATGATGTAGTGTTTATGTAATTGATAAATAATTAGATGTGTGATTTGATGTTGTGATGTAAGTTGGTGAGATCGAAGAAAATAAGCAAAAGTTGACAAATTTG